TTTAGTCATTTAGGGTCTAAGGGCAATTTAGTCTTTTTAAAACCCAAGGATAATTCTCCATGAACCGAAAGTTCAACGTAATATGAATTTCAAAGGTAGAAGCTGATTTTTGAGGTTATCAATAGGTCAGGAATTCAACCAATGGTTCAAAGGTTCAAATGAAACAAAATATGAATTATCATGTCGTTTTCACTATCACATTCATCCTTAGTTTAAGAGAAATTTTTTATTTTACCATGTAAGGGTATTTTCATAATTTCTTATCCAAGTCTTCCTAGTATGCGACATTTAAAATAAATATTTAGAATTTAAAGGATTTTGAGGCTTATCGGATTTTCAATTAATCACTGAATTAGTACTTATTTCTTTTTAGGCTTTAGTTTCTTACTAAAGTCAGGAGAATTATATTTCAGTTTATGGCCTTTATACCACATTTAGTTTGAGTTCAAAATTTACAAACTGCACACTGACCGATCATTTTCATTCATGCCTTTACAAATAATTAACAAGTTCCATAAAGCATACAAAAGGTAGAAATGTATTACCTTGATTTTTGATCCATATTGGATGACAAATAAAATCCATTTGATACTTGATTTTGATGTCCCATAATATCTCAGATATATATAGCAAAAGAATTTACGTCAGAAACAGAACGTAATTGGGAAAACTATTCGAATAAAAAATTTAGAATGCTGAAAACAACATACCGGGTTAGAATCTGACAAAACAGACTTCGAAATTGAACTCAAGACATCAAAAAACATAAAATAGGACTTTTTGAGAAAGTTGACTTTTTGGTCAAAGTTAGTAGTCAATGGGTTAAAGTCAAAGTCAAAGTGTTTAATCAACATCAACGGTCCATATCAACGGGTTGACTCAGTTTGATTTGAGTTGGCTAAGCTGAATCAGTTTGATTTGACCTAATCAACTCGTTTTGAGTTGACTTAGTTTGTGGAAAATTTAACATGTACGAACGTTTGGAAGACTGGAAAACACCAAAATCAATCCATAGTAAACCAATAATCCAACAAAAATAAACATAAACCCAATGAAAATAAAATATGAACTTACCAACAACGAAAACGACGATGGTGGGGGACCCTACCATTTGGGTCTTGCCAGAAACTTTGCGAGGATTCTAAATATTAAAGAGGTCACGCAAGTAGAGGCTTAACATAGCTGGAATTGAGGAAACAATGTTGAGGCTTGTTATGATTTTTGACAAGATTTTGAATGCCTCCACTGGCGAATGGTGGTGTTTCACGAAAAAAGCTCAGTTGGGTTTTGGTAGTACGAGGAAGTGGACTATAGTGGTGGCGTTGGTGTGGTAAATCAAAGTAAAAAATGATGAGAATCGGAAAATAACATCGATGGGTCTTTAATCGGTGTTTCACAGCCACATACGAGGTTTCATAATAAATTACCAGAGGGGTTTTGATCGGGGGACAATGGGGAATGACATGGTGCTGGCAGTGCACGACACCACTGGCAAGAGATCGAAAAATAATGATAGGTACGATAGTTGCTTTAAAACTAAGCTTTAAGTTCTGAAGACCTTATCTTTTTTCGAGTTAGAAACAAAAGATATTTTTACTAAGTCCTATTAGCTACAGTGTCATAGATGAGATGATAAGGAAGTAGAGTGAAATTACTAAAATTTTGCTATATGGTCCCTCAAAATTGATATTTAAAGGATTAATTAAATCTAAATTTTCAGGGTATGACAAATCTCCTCTCATTAAAAGAACTTCGTCCTTGAAAGTTACCCAAGTCATAGAAATTTAGAAGTGAATATTTCATTAATTCTTCAATATCTCTAGGTCTCTTTTACACGATCACTGGTCCTATACTAAACCTTAACCAGCGGAATATACTTTCTCGTTGAAACTCTCCCTCATCATAAATCAAGAATCTGAACATAATTATCCTTGTTGAAATAATCCAACCTTATCTAGGAGGTTAGGTTCATAAAGCGGGTAACATAGTCCAATTTCATATCTAGAGTCGGTTAAGAATTTCTCAGACAAGTAACTCTCACGTTACTCGTGAGGTGTTTTACCGAATTTGGACAAACATTATTGGTATTCCTTTTATGGCACTGGTCGAGCCCTAACAGACAAAAAACTTAGTTATACTTATTACAAATAGAGGATTACATATCGGAGTTCTGGCTCAGAGGATTATGGTTATAATCTAGGGGCACATACTGACCAGACACCTTATGACAATCGAACGACTGGTCTACCTAGAAAGACTCAACTCAACCTAAGCTCTTATACCACTAAATGTAACCCTTAGACTGATACGGGTAACCCAATTCGATTCGAGGTGTCACATTAGATCCACTAGAGTGACCCACAATAAATTCCAGGAAAAATTAAAATTTTACCAAACACAATTTAAAAATGTTAAACCATGTAAGAATAATTACAAAAATTCAAAAGATGTTTAACGTTAACGCAAAACTCAGAAACACAATAAATATCAAAACAATTCACTGATTCTCATACATAAACAAAATATAACCTACATGCCCTTTAATTATACTGGTACCATACTTTACAAGTGATGCCAAAGGAACTCCATTATTGATGTCGATAATTACACATGATCGATTCTTTAACCTGAAATGGTAAGTAACAAAATGAGCTTTGTAAAAGATCAGCAATACAAAACTATCGGCTAATGCTAAAGGATAAGTATGCATATGGTACAACATGAAAAATCTCTTAACTATCCAGGCACAAACAGGTCATAGATGATGAGTCGAAGTGTCACTTATTAATTTGTTAGGTAACAAGCAAAAAGCTTATAGTTCAGAGGAAACATTTAGAGGAACATATTCAGGAGATTGAAAACGGATGTCTAATGTGTTCCCAAGACACGAGAAATAAAAGTAAACTTGTAGTATTATTTTATTTCAGGAAAATAGATTTTAAAATCATTGTAATAACCTCTAACTAAACACCGATATGCAATTTCCAAGAACTGCATCCATAAGGACTTACCCTAGGCCCATTGGGCGTATGTTCCAACCTAAGGTAATTCCTTGGGGCCTTAGAGGCTACCCAAGGAATACCTTGGGGCCTTACAGTCTACCCAAGGGAGCATCTTGGGGTCTAAGAGCCTACCCAAGGGAGCATCTTGGGGCCTAAGAGCCTACCCAAGTGTCATTAATAACTCTCTAAAAGAGTTATTTTTGGTAACCTTAATTACATAGGTTTAGTTTGAACTTAAGCATATTTAAGAGCATTTTAGGATTAAATTTACTTAATTTTGCATATTTTTCATGATATGAGCATAATGGGTTGCTAAGGACTAAAATTGATTTTTGTTGCTACAAACTGTTGCATTGATTCTATAGCACTGTAGGAAATGATAATCGGATATTGTAGTAGTTGTCGAAGCTCCGGATGGTTGGAAGAATCTTATGGAATTGGACAGTTGGTGATGGTAGATTTCATGTGGCTGGATAACACCTGAAACGAGGATTCATCATATTGGGCGATGAGATTTTCATTCAAGCTATAAAAGTGGAGTACTTGGATACAATAAGTTTGCCAATGGGGAGAGATCCAAAGTACAATTTCCATGTTATTTGTCTTCAAGCAATGGACGCCTAAATCCTATATAAGGGATTGCTATAGTAGAAAGGAAGCTTGTTGAAGAGCTTTAGTTGTCAACGGGTCACTTTCAATGCCTTCTATGATAGAGGATGTGTTTTGAATGTTTAAACTATTGTTGGATATTTGTTATAGATTTCTTTATTTTTTGTAATCTTAGATATTTGCTTTATGAGCTATGAACTTCATGATTGCAATTAGAAATATTTGCAATTATATATATATAATTTTTGTTTAAATCTAGAAGTAGTTTTATTAGAGTTGCTATATATTTATGTGAGAATTGGTGTTGCTAAGTAGCATAGTTACACTAAAAAGTGTGAAGCTAATTGATAAGTATTATTAATAGTTTGAATCTTTAATTGATGAAAATCATTAAAGTAGTTTTAATGGATTTAATCAATGTTGATTACATAGATTAAGTATTCAACACTTGCATAGAATTTGAGAATCATAATAACATATCCATCGATTCGATAGTTGACCATTTGCTTCCTATAATGCTTTAGCATGAACTGGTATATTTCATTATTAATTTTATTTCTTCCTAGCATCTTATTCTTTTAATTCACCTTATTTTCAAAAACTCCAATATAAACATTTTCCTCCCTGTGGATTCGATATCTAAAACTCTTGTAGTTTCCACTTTATTACTTGATTTGGTATACGTGCACTTGCGTTGTATGCTATAGCATTTTTGTAGCATCAAGTTTTTAGCATCGTTGTGGGGGAGCATCAGTTTGATTTAGAGTTGTTTTTTTAAATTTTGCTTACGTATTTATTTTCTTTTGTAGATTTATTAGTCTCTATTTTTTAGTGTATGTCCCAAAGTGACGAAGACTTAGAGCCATTCAATCGAGAGATTGAAAGGAAATTTCGTAGACGTCACTGAGAAGATGCTATTACTGGACGAGGGAATGGTATTTTACCCTATTGCAGAATATAAGAATGATGAGTTGCCAGTTGAACTTGAAGATGAGAAACCATGTCATAATGTAAATGATCGTGATTGCCCTATTTGTGAGTATGTGGTACCAAGATTGGATGATTTTCATATGTGAATTGTGAGGCCAATAATTAATGTTGCGAACTTCGAATTAAATCCAATTATGTTTCAAATGTTACAATCTATGGGACAATATGTACGTTCTATTGTTGAAGACCTTAGGGCCATTTACGAGCTTTTATTGAAGTTTTCGATTCTTTTATTCATCAATGTGTACCAGAGGAGGCCTTGAAGCTGAAGTTATTTCCCTATTCATTGTGTGATAAAAACTAGTTTGGTTTAGTTCACTACCATCGAGTGCTGTAGCATCCTAGAATGAATTAGCATAGAAGTTCTTTTTGTGATTCAACCTACCATATATGAATTCTAGGCTTCAAAATGAATTGATTTCATTCATGCAGATGGATGATGAAAGCTTATATGAAGCATGGGAATGATTTAAGGATTTTTTGTGGAAGAGTCATATGCATGGTTTCCCACGTTGGACTCAAATGGAGATGTTTTACATTTTGTTAAACATACACACTCGAATGGTGGTTGATGCCTCGATAAATGGATATGTGTTGGATAAGACATACAATTAATCATATGACATCCTTGAGTGAATTTCTACCAATAATTGTTAATACCCTAATATGCACCATACATTTGGTCGACGTGATGCTGCAGTGGTAGATTCGGAAGCCTTTAACTATATGGCATCTCAAATTTTAACATTGATTGAAATGGTGAAGAAATTGTATAAGCCAAGGGGAATGTATGAAGTTAAAGCCACATCTCTTGTCACTTGTGTATATTGTAGTGATGACAACAATTTTGATGAATGTCCTTCAAATGTGGAGTCCATTTACTATGTGCAGAATTATCAAAGGAATGATAATGTGTTTAGCAACACGTACAACCCAAATTTTAGAAATCATCCTAATCTCTCTTGGAGAAATCAGAATGTTGCAAACCCACAACATCAGTAGACTCAATATAGTCAAATGTCACAGCCATAGGAACAACAATATGTCACTCAGCCATAACAAAAGTAGAATTATCAAGGTAAATCTTTGAATCAATCTTCAACCTTGACGCCTTTTGAAGCCATGATGAAAGAATATATGCCAAGCCAATCTGCCTTATTAAGGGCTATTGAGAATTAGATATGACAAATGGCTAATGCTCTAAATAGTTGATTGTTATGATCACTACCTAGCGATATTGAGAATCCTAAGCAAAATGGTATGGAGCATTGCAAGGCCATTAACATAAGAAATGGAATTCATATTGGGGACCTAGTTGAAGAAGCAAGTAAAAAGACGGTGGAAGCTCATCAGCATGGTAAAAGGGAAGAGTAAAGAAATTGAGCCTAAATTACAAGTGAGTCAATTCCCAACGATAGATACTTATAGTAATTTAGAGCCATTGTAAAAGGCAACTCCTGATGCATCCAATGCAGATTCAATATAAAGCTTTTATTGATGCCATTCGCCAACTCATAATTAACATTCCGTTGATTGATTCTATATAGCAAAACCCAAATTATATCAAATTCATTAAGGAAGTTCTTTCAAAGAAACAAAGACTTGGTGAGTTTTAGACAGTCGTTCTTACTGAAGGTTATAAGTCAATTGATACCAAAGCTTAAGGATATAGGGAGTCTCACTATTCTTTGTAACATTGGTGAAACATTTGTAGGTAAAGCCTTATGTGATATGGGTGCTAGCATAAATCTAATGCCTTTGTCAATCTTTAGGAAATTTGGAAGTGGCGAAGCAAGGCCTAATATGGTTACCTTCTAACTTGTTGACCACTCTACTGTGCATCCTAGTGGTATTGTGGAGAATATGCTTGTGCCCATGGATAAGTTTATCTTTCCTACGGACTTCATTATTTTGGATTGCCAAGTAGACAAAGATGTTCCAATCATTCTCGACCGACCATTCCTTGCCATGGGCTGATCTTTAATCTATGTTGAAAATGGAGAATTGACTATGCATTTGAATGATGACCATATTACTTTTAATGTCTTGAATAATGTTTCTTATATAATTGACAATGTGAACTGTTTTTCACTTGACGTGATTGATATTTTTTTATCAGGAGCATTTGGAGGAATGCTATAGCGAAGATATAACTTTATGTGATTTCAAATCATTTGAAGAATTCTTAACAAATTAAGAAGTCGAATGTTGTAGAAAGTATCTCTAGAGTATATAACCATTGTAAATACATGATCATATTATTCAAGCATCGATGTCATCTATTGAAGAACCACCGAGGCTTGAATTGAAACCACTACCAGAGCATTTGAAATATTCTTATTGTCGAGCAAATGAGATGTTACCAATTATTGTGGTAGTACAACTTACAACATCATAAGAAGCTCAACTAATTGATTTGCTAAATCAGTATAAGAAGGTAATTGCATGAAGCATCAATGATATAAAAGGTATTAGTCCATCATTTTGCATGCAAAAAATTCTTTTAGAGGATCCCAACAGTAACGCAATTGAACACTAACGAAGACTGAATCCGATCATAAAAGAAGTGGTTAGAAAGGAGATTATAAAATGGTGGGATGTTGTAATTATATATCCTATATCATACAACAATTGGGTTAGTATCGTGAAATGCATTCCAAAGAAGTGTTGTATTACTATGGTGACAAATGATAAAAATGAATAAATGCTGAAAAGGACCACTACAGGTTGGAGGATAAGTAAGGACTATAGGAAGTTGAATAAAACAACGAGGAAAACCACTTTTCATTACCCTTTATAAATCAAATGCTAGACTAACTTACATGCAATGCTTTATATTATTTTTTGGATGGATATAGTGGTTACAATCAAATTTCTATAGCTCCTAAAGATTAGGAGAAAATAAATTTTGCATGTTCGTATGGCACCTTTACTTTTCATAGAATGCCATTTGGGTTGTGTAATGTTCCAGCGCCTTTTCAATGTTGCATGATGACCATTTTCACCGATATGATTGAGGATTATCTTGAAATTTTATGGATGATTTTTAAATCTTTTGGCAAGATTTCAACAAGTGTTTGAGCAATTTGGCTGCAGGTTTGAGAAAGTATGAGGGACCAACTTAGTTTTGAATTGGGAAAAATGTCATTTTATAGTCACAGAAGGCATAGTGGTTGGGCATCAAATTTCAAGTCGTGGCATTGAAGTGGATAAAGAAAAAGTATAAGTTATTAAGAAATTGTCACCACCTACTAGTGTGAAGGTAGATCGAAGCTTTCTTGGTTATGCTGGCTTTATAGAAGGTTCATTGAAGACTTATCGTAGGTTTCTAAGCCATTGTTCTCATTATTGGAGCAAAACATGATGTTTGTTGTTGATGATGAAGTGCTTCAATCTTTCGATAATTAAATTGAAGTTAGTAAATACCCATGTTATTATGGCACCTGATCGGAATTTTCCTTTTGAATTAATGTGTGATCTGGTGATTTTTTTTGTAGGAGTAGTGTTGGGGTAAGAAAAAAATAAAATGTTTCACGCGATACATTACACAAATAGGACATTGAATGAAGCCTAGATCAATTATACCATAACTGAAAAGGAGTTGCTTGCTATGGTGTTTGCTTTTGATAAATTTCGTTCCTACATGGTGCGCACAAAAGTGATTTTCTATACCAATCACTCAGCGCTGAAGCATTTATTTGCTAAGAAGAATCCAAAACCTTGTTTGATTCTTTGGGTGCTTTTACTTCAGGAATTCTACATTGAGATTCAGGATAAGAAGGGATCTAAAAATCAAGTGGTTGATCACTTGTCTAGGTTAGAATCTAGCAGCGAAGATAGTAATATTGCAATAATTCCAGAAAAAATTCATGATGAGCATTTGTTAGCTACTACAATACAATCATGGTATGCTAATTTTGCTAACTATCTTTTTAGTGGCATGATGCCACTAGATATCAATTATCAAGGTCGAAGGAAATTTTTACGTGATGTCAAGCAATACCATTGGCAGGAGTCGCATTTACTTAAATAATGTAATGACCAACTCATGTAGCGATGTATTCCTCAATGTGAGCAGCAAAGTATTCTGCAACATTGTCATAGTGCCCCATATGGTGGACATTTTGGCACTATGTGCACAGTAGAGAAAGTGCTTCACTACTAATATTATTGGCCACCACTTTTTAAAGATGTTAATGACTTTGTAAAGAATTGTGATCACTGCTAGAGAACCGGAAATATTTCTCGGTGAAATGAAATCCCATTGCAACTTTTCCTCAAGATCGAACTACTTGATGTGTGGGAATTAGATTTTATGGTTCCATATCCTTCTTCATGTGGCAACCTTTTCATTCTAGTCGTTGTAAACTATGCATCCAAATGGGTGGAAGTTGTGGCTTTACCAAACATCAATGCTAAAGCAGTGTTGTGATTTTTGCACAAAAAATATTTTCACTCACTTCGATACCCTTCAAGCATTTATCAGTGATGAAGGATATCAGTTTATTGGTCATCAGGTTGCTAGAGCATTGAATAGATATGCAGTAAAGCATAAAATTGCTATAACCTACCATCCACACTCCAACGGTCAAGCCGAGGTGTCTAACTAAGAAATCAAGCAAATCCTTGAGAAAGTTGTGAACCATTCTCAGAATGATTGGTCTCAGTGCCTTGAAGAAGAACTATGGACTTATAGAACTGCTTATAAGACTCATGATAACTCCATAAAAATGGTATCTTTAAGGCCTTTTTCATTAAGTTATTATTTGTTTAAGGGTTCATATAGTTCATTTTAGATGCATGTAGCAACATATAATTTTATTTGTGGTGGTTGTATTATTTTATTTTGTTAAGGTGTTGTATGAGGAGGAATGTGTGTTTTTAGTGACGTGTAGGAAATAACAAGCAAAAAGGGCAAGCTGGGAAGGAATGCCATGACATCACATGTTGATAAAGTAGATTGAAATGCATTGGCATTTCTAGCGTAGAAAAGAACTAAAAGATATTTTTACAAAAGGACAGTTGGCAAGAAACGTGTTTGATGGTTGTAACTGCCTGTTGGGACTACTGCAACCAGTAATGATAGTCCTCACGCACAAAATATGACTTTAGGGGTATGATGGGTATTTTGAGTACATAATCCCAAGAATACCCTTAGATATTTTTATTATTAAAGGACACCTCACAAGAGAAAGATGAAGGACGCACTCCAACAGAAAAATCTTCATCTTCACCACTATTTCTTTTCCCTCCATTTTTAGTGGCGTTCATCCATTATCGATCTCTAAGGAGTAGCGAGCTAGGCGTATGAGAGGAGCTAGCGAACTAAGGTGGTTCGTGGTGGCCAAGAATAGCTCCGGAAGTGCACGTCAAAGGCTTTTTCCTTATTCCCCTTTACTGTTATTTCTCATTTGATTTGTGTTTCAAGGAATGAATGAATTTTATGATTTATTTCATGGATTATTCGAACCTCACCGTGAACTAGCTTTATTTGGTGGGAGTTCGC